TAAATACATTACAATGCATTAGAAGAAAATGAAATAAAAATTACAAATAAATTAAATTATAAATACATTATAATGCATTAGAAGAAAATGAAATAAAAATTACAAATAAATTAAATTATAAATACATTATAATGCATTAGAAGAAAAATGTTAGCTAATACAAATAAATTATTAACAGAAATGAACCAAATGGTCAAAATAAACCAAAGAAAAGAAATGAGAAAAATAGGAAAAACGGACAAAATCAATGAATAGAACGAAATGTGAAAAACGGACAAAATCAAGGAATAGAACGAAATGTGAAAAACGGACAAAATCAAGGAATAGAACGAAATGTGAAAAACGAACAAAATCAAGGAATAGAACGAAATGTGAAAAACGGACATGAAAGTCAATGAGTAGAACGAAACAAGGAAAGCACACAAATGAAAGAAATGATCAAAATACGAAAAATTAATGCAATGAACACAATTGACCACATTAATGAAATGGAAAATATGAATGGAATTATGAAAGTAAACAAAATGAGCAATGAATGAAAGAAATGAGTAAAACCAACAAAATATGCAAAATACACACCAAAAAATGACCAAAATGGGTTAAAAGAATGAAAAATAAAACGAAATGATGTTAATTATTGCTCACTGGTACCTGATTTGTCGTTTTTCTTCAATGRCATCAAGTTCCATGTCATCTCTTTGTGAGTCTGGTTGCTGTTTCAGGCGGAGACTAAGAACWGCGTTGAATATTTCCAAACTGCGTTGACCTTGTAACAATAACAATAAAAAATCAAAACGCCTGAATGGAATCCAAGATAATTTCATACTACGTGATAAAGGACGTTACTTATGTGAAAATTGCCAAACATTAGAAAAGGCATGAAATTCTTTTAGACTTATCGATGGCTTTAGTTATCATGAAGCAACAATTTCGGCGTTGTTTRCACCGCCATTTTGTTTATATTTTCTTCTTTCTTTTGAGCTAAAGTTTATATTTTCTTCCTTCTTTTGAGCTTAAGTTTCCCTATCTTAATGGACCTTTAAAGCTTTTACGTCATGTAGGATATGTTGGGGACAGAATAGACTTCTGAACCTTTTACGTCACCTACTTGATTTTCAATGCACTGTGGAATCAGTTTATTGAGAAAACAAACGAAATCCGCCATGTTCTGTCCCAAAACATATCCTACAATGCATTGCGTACACGGTACATGACGTAAAAACTGAGGTCTATTATCATGCCAAATTTCTTTTGTTTTCTTTAGAAACTGATCCCACAAAGCATTGGAAATCTAGTAGTGACGTGAAAGTTTCAGAAATCTATTGAAATGACTCCATAACAACAATACTTTTCCCCCACAAGTTTTTAATAGGTAAAMATTATTCAAATATTTGAATTCCTGAAGTTTTTTTATCTATGTAGCCCTATAAGCCATGAACCACTTACCAATCTCCTCTCGGTCTTTTACAGCCGTGAATCTCCACTTATAGAACCCAGTAAAAACTTCTCTCAGTACAAACACCAAGCAAGCAGCTAAGTCCAGAAAGTTAACTGGTTGCACTGATTCTAAGTCAGCTTGCCCAACACCACACATAAGCTGAAGAAACAGACGGAGTGTTGCCATAGTGATGGGGAAATAGCCGGTGGGTTGTTCTCTTGAACTGAGTATGACTCCAAGGTTGCCCGATGCTATGCTCATTGACCTGGAATGCATTTAATTAATGACACCAAATTAGAAGTAGTATGGAAAGACAAAGTGCTTAGAATGAGGCTAAAAGACTCTTGTAATTAAGCATTTTTATGATTTAGTTGCCAGTATTATCAAATTCATTAATAATTCATAAGGTAAAAACAATGGAAAATCATTGCCGTGACCGCATTATATGAGCAACTTCAAGCCGGGAAGATACCGGTTTGTACGGCCCTGTCGCGAAAAGGCGTACGGCCCCCATCACGTGACCATTTCCCAAAGGTTTTTTAAGAGCGCGCGTAGGGCCGAAATATAAATATACGGGTCATATGTTAACAAATTTTATCTTGAAGTGTTTAGCAAAATATGCTTTATCTCTGGATGCTGAAATTTGAAATTCAATATAAAATAACATTTGCGTTCTACCTTAAAACTGTTAACTGCTAAAACTGTTTAATTGYAGGCTTTAAAACCGCTCGCTTGCAGCTTGCAGTTTCAAATGCCCGCTCATGTTTTATGAATTTATTACTTAAAAACTAAACTGTGAACAACATGCACACAAGGCAGGTCTGGAAGGAAGGTTTAGGTGGACTTACTCTATTGTCAATTTGTTGTCGTCCAGTGACTGTGTCAAGGTGCAGTATGGCAGAAAACCTGTCTGCTGAAGACTGAACCACACCTAGAAAATTTGCCATAAAAACATTGTCAGAAATTAAATAATTGTAATATAAATCATACGTATAAAACATACCTGTAGAGGATTGTGGGATGCAACCGTTGCAAGACAGGTAAGACAGGAAGCTAGAAGATCTTGTGGAAGATTAGRTGACAAAGCACATCTGAAAATCATCCATCAAATGCTTACAATAATCAAATATCTAACAATTTCATATTAGAGAGTTTTAGATAATATGCGTTAACGGCGAACGCCAAACATCAAAACTGATCACGTGATCACTGTTTTTCTGTATTTAATTAACGTATAAATAGATCACTTTTTCGTGCATAGGACCTATTCCACTATTCCTTTCGAAGCGTTTTATGTTTGTTTGAATTTTTGAGACAAAGCATAAAAGCCAATTTGACGTTGCCTGCGTGGCGGCTCTAGGGGAGGGGGGAGGGAGAAAACGGAAGGGGAGGGGGTGGGGAGGCGTTTGCAGTTAACGTGAATCTACAGCTCTCTATTATTTAAAAAAAAAATTTCACTATCACACCACATCAAAACATTTTGTGATTACTTTAACACTATCTAATGTATTAAGGACTAAGGTCACCAGAAAGGGAGAGGGTGGGTGGGGAGGGAGGGTGTGTTTGTATGAACAAGAATACAGCCTTTCAAAACAATATTCAAACAAAACAATACAGAATTTGATAGACAAAGAATCAACTTTCTTGGCATCTCAAATCACATATCAAATTATTATTTTTTACCTTTGGATAAGGACATAAAGTCTAGATATCACTGGTTCAATGTGTTCTACTTTGGACCAGTTATTCTTAAGTATCTCATTTGTAAGATTGACAATAGCAATGACATTCYGGCAATCACATCCTTAAAAAAAGAAGAAAAGTCAGAAGTGCATAATTAAATTTAACATTAACAAAAACTAGCACCAAGAAATACTCCATGTAGGGTCTACAATAAACTGTGCTTTTCCTGATGCTCTTCTAGAGGACTTTCAAGGAATGGGATATACCTGTCTCACAGAAAGAGCACTACAAATTAAAGTACACCGCCGGTGCACTGACACTCCACCTACATCTATGACRCCTTATGTCATCAATACACTAGATAGGCTTCCAGTTTTGATTAAAAGTGTTTTAGATATTATTCATAGACATATAAATGACTGAGGTGAAAAATAATTTGAAATACATGTATGCAATCCATTGCCATCTGTCAGTTTTAAAAGGAATGCTTAATATTGACTATGACTCTTTAAGATGTGAGTTATAATCAAGGCTAATTTAATGGTTACCTGCTCCTAAACTCAGTGATTGAAGAAAWGCATCAATCTCAAAGACAAACAGGTCCCAACAGGAATAACTGTAATTCCACCGAATGACTGATGAGCCTGCAAGAAGAAAYAGATAATATTTAACAGTGAATGAATGCTTAAAATCCTTTCAGTCATTGATCCACGTAATCATTATCCGATAGTCTTTTTCACAGTTCCCTGCACCATCTTGAAAGGTAGCCATGCTTTTGCATCGAAGCGAGACGACCGTTGAGCGTGCAATGATAGATACCTGTGAATAATTGTCTATAGGTGTGAAATTCACAGGTATCTATCATTGCACGCTCAACGGTTGCCTCGCCTCGATGCAAAGGCACGACCAGCTTTCAAGATGGCGCAGGGAACCATGAAGGAGACTATTTCTTCGAATGTCAGCATGTTTATAAATTATGGAAGAGGCAAAGGTTTTTGGTGATATTTAGCTTGATTAATCACCCTCTTATATTATATTATTAAGCAACTCTTTTCTCCATACCTTGTACAGATGGTAACACAACACCTAGAGTACCACTTGGGATGACAAGACTTTCTGCTGATGACTGCACTACAATCAAATGAATATCATTATCGTTTTTTAGCAAACTATGTTTTAGCTTACATGTATGTTGGAATTTGATAAGCAAATTATAAAAATATTCGGCCTTTATGGACTTTAAAACTGCTTGTTTGCAGCTTGCAGTAAATGTTTTAAATGCCCTTCAAAAACTCATACATTTTAATGAGTTATTAGAAGTCCAATAGAGTGGGTCTATTTGGTCACATGTATAGACCTATATATCTGATAAACGTCATCCTAATCAGTGAAAACCTCATAAGAGACCTGGACGGTTAACCATGGCTTTTTTAACACACACACACTGTACGACTACTTTTTAAACAAGAGTGAGAATTATACTGTTACATTTATAATGAAATTCAAAGAATGGTTTCATGTGGTATTATCAAACAATAGAAACCCCACACAGCTGTACTAACCTCCTCTGTACAGAGTTTTATGATTGACAATCTTCCAAACCTGGTCATCGCCAGTACAATCAACGTCACCAACACTATTTTCACGCAGCAATTCAGTGTAAGAAGGCATGTTGTCCAGGAATTCAAAAACCTACAGACAAAACAACCACAAGGACAAAATGGAGAATGCCAATATTAATAAT